AGGAGGTCTCCCTGCTGAAAGCCTAAGGGCTTCTTCTCAACCTCCCTTAATAGAATTCAGGCCTGGCTGGTTTGAGTAAGCTCTTTTGCTCTTAAAACAATGTTGCAGCCGCAGATAATGCCTTATAGTGTAAGGTTTGCTGACGCCAAGTTAAAGATAATAGGAGAGACAACTACAAGGCCAGACAGAATGTGCTGGTTGTTTAAATTGCTAGGAATGCTTGTTAGAGGTTGCAGGAAATAAACATTGTTGTAACTCATATAAGGAAGGCAGAGTATTTGTGCAAAGTTTTGATTGGCTAATGTGTAGTGCAGTAGCATTAAGGAATATAAAAGTGTGTGTAATGACCTGCTCTAATGTGCAGGATTTGAGATTCTATTCTCCCTGTACCTTGTTTGCAGCTGCAAATAAACTTTTCTGCTTCTCCACCCCGTTGTGATTATTGAGTGAAGCTCACCGGGTAACGAACCCCTGCTGTTGTTTTGCCTCTGGGCACTGGGTGCCGGCAACACTTTCATCATGCTGTTGCCACCTTTCCTCTTGATTCCGGCACCTCTCCTGTTGCTCCCGCCATCTGTCCTCTCACGTGTCCCTCCTGTCCTCACGTTCATTTTGTGCTTTTCTGGACTCTACCATTATCTGCCTCCACTCATTCTGTTGGGCTCTTTCAGTTTGGTGGACTGCATGAGCTCAGAGAACATTTCATCATGAGTGCATTTTTTTTCGCCTTCGTATCTGCGCTAACCTCTGGGATGGAGATCCTAGTGGCAGCGTTGAAACATTTGCAGCTGCGGGGGGGGGGGGGGAGATTAAAATTGAAAAAGACGCATTGGCCATTTAAAAGGAGGGGCTGATGTTTTCAGGTTAATGTGCAGCACAAACCCAACTAAGCTGCCCCCCCACACACACCCAATTCTCTGGGATAATCGCTTCACCCCTCCCCCCACCGTGTAGCTAACAGCGGGGATGATTTCTTTTCAGCCACAGGCAAACAGCCCAGCAGGAATGGCCACCTCTGAATGTCCCCTTAATAAAATTCCCCTATTTCAACCAGTTGACCATGAATGATATCACACTCCTGAGGATAACACAGAGAGATAATGAATGGATGTTGCTTGAATGCCAACAAACACCGGGACCACACGTTGCCATGCTTTCTTATGCAATGATTCCAGACTACGTGCTACTGGCCTGCCGTGGTAAAGTGTCCTACCATGGAGGATGCACTAAGGCTGCCCTCCCCAGAAACCTTTTGCAAAGGCTTTGGGAGTACATCCAGGAGAGCTTCATGGAGATGTCCCTGGAGGATTTCTGCCTCTTCCCCAGACACATTAACAGACTTTTCCAGCAGCTGTACTGGCCGCGAATGCATCCCAAGTCTTCAGAGCAAATTAATCATTAAACACGCTTGCTTTTAAACCATGTATTATATTTACAAAGGTATACTCACCATAGGTGACTTCTTTGCCTTCAAGGTCCGGAAGCCCACCTTGGGAGGGTTGGGAGGGTATTGGCTCCAGGGTGATAAACAGTTCCTGGCTGCCGGGGAGAACGGCTTCTCCGCTTGCCTGGTGTGCGCTATCTTCAACCTCCCCCTCTTCATCATCTTCCTCATCCCCAAAATCCTCATCCATGTTGCGTGAGACTCCCTTGCAGGAGTCCATGTACAGGTGTACGGTAGTTGTAGGGGCACCCCCTAGAATTCATGCAGCTCATCATAGAAGCGGCTTGTCTGGGGCTCTGACCCTGAGTGGGTGTTTGCCTTTTGGGTTTTTTGGTAGGCTTGCCTGAGCTCCTTAAGTTTCACGCGGCACTGCTGTGGGTCCCTGTGATAGCCTCTGTCCTTCATGTCCTTGGCGATTTTTTCAAATATTTTGGTATTTCGTCTTTTGGAACAGAGTTCTGATAGCACGGATTTGTCTCCCCATACAGCGATCAGATGTAGTACCTCCCGTTCGGTCCACGCTGTAGCTCTTTTGATTCTGGGACTCCATGGTCATCTCTGCTGATGAGCTCTGTGTGGTCACACCATGGTGGCCAAACAGGAAATGAAATTCAAAAGTTTGCGGGGCTTTTCCTGTGTAGCTGGCTAGTGCATCCGAGTTAGTTCTGTCCAAAGTGGTCACAATGGAGTACTGTGGGATTGCTTCCGGAGGCCAATACTGTCGAATTGCGTCCACACTAACCCAAATTGGACCCGGTGATGTCGATTTCAGTGCTAATCCCCTTGTCGGGGAGGAGTACAGAAATCGATTTTAAGAGCCCATTAAGTCAACAAAAATGGCTTCATTGTGTGGACGGGTGCAGGGTTAAATCGATCTAACGCTGCTAAATTCAACCTAAACTCGTAGTATAGACCAGGGCTTAGTTTCTGAAATGGTGCTAAACATTTTGTTTGCTCACACTTGCCACTAAACTTTATTCAGCTGCACCCACTGAAAACTTCCGTCATCTTCAGAAATAGGTATGCCGTCAAGAAGTGTTTCAATGTTGTGATTAAAGAATAGGCAGGGCCAAAACCATTTTGATTTACCTACATTAAGAAACAGCAGACCTGTAATTAACAGCTCATAGTGGCAATAGTAGAAACTGTACTGCAGACCGGTCTCAATCATGTCATATAATCTTACTCTCAAACCTTGCCTGTGGTAAGGAGGCAAAAGTTTCCCAATGCAATATAGGCCTGGCTTGACATGAGTAATTGGACATGGGTGAGGCCTTATTTCTGGGGAAACAGGTTAAGGGAGGTAAATGAATCAGCAGGCTGGAAACAGAATGTCTGTACTAGTTAAAAAGAAAAGGAGTACTTGTGGCACCTTAGAGACTAACCAATTTATTTGAGCATGAGCTTTCGTGAGTTAAGATAAGGTTGAACACCCAGGGATCATGCACAATGGACAAGATAATGGAGAAAATAAGCCTGAATTGTAAAATGAGGTAAAGAGTACGTGCATGGACAGTGCATGCTGTACAGGAACTGTTTTCTGTAAAGTGATCAAGCCAATCCCAAAATGTGTGACGCAATGTGTAGTAAATGCAATGTAATGTGTAAATGTATATAAAGGAAGAGGTTTGTTGTGTAACTTCGAATGTGAGGCACACCCTATGTCCCACCCCATAAGCTTGAGTCTGATCAATTTAGCATAGCTTTGATGTATGCTAAATAAAGGAATCTGAGTGACAAGACTGTAGTCGAACTAAGTTCTTGGGTAACCTAGTGGAAGAGGTCTCAGGGGAATGCCATATGCAGTTTTACTAGTGGTAGCAACATTGGGGCTGTTGGCATAGACAAGATTGCCATGACAACTCTTACATTGTTTAAGACTCCTCTGAGCAGAGTGGTAAAAACCACGGGTGGCTGCAGATTTATCTGTGCTAATGTTCCTGCCATTGCTATTATCAGTGATGTTAGCAATGGTGGGAAACTTTTGCCAAAAAAAATCTATGACAAGATGGTAAAAGAGCTTGAGTCTGCAGTACCACTTCCACTGTTGGTACCACAGGTGAATTTGCATTGGCAGTGAATTACAGGTCAGACTTTTGCCAGTATAGACATTGCACCTAGAATCAGAAGTCTACCTACTACTTTGTTTAAACATAATTTAACAAGATTCTGAAAAGGTATCATTGTCAGCAGATTTTGTTTTCTTCAAGTATAACCATGTTGTACAATATATAACCATTGTACAACCATTGTACAACCATGTTGCTATAGACTGCCACACTTCCCCATATGAGTGATTAGGGAAATCATGCCAGAACTCTTCTAGGAAAAAATGTTTAAACAGCTGTAACTACCATATGTCATATGGCAATGTGGAAAAAAATGGTTGCATAGCTATACTGTAAGTGTTGTTCTTCAAGATGTGGTTGCACATGTGTATTCCACTCGGGGGGAAGAAGGGAGGAAAGATGTATTTTGATGGTCATTTTATCCACTTCAAAGATTTGTTACTACTGGATAACTGCAGCACTGTTAAAGCATATTCAGCTTTTACATGATGTTGTTTTAATTTGATTTACTCCTAAATACTGTGACTATATCATTTGAATAATAAAGTTAATATTTCTGTGATCAGAACTTGGCTGAATGAACATGGCACATCATCAAGACATCAAATGATATTCCATGTTTTTTTCTGGAATGTTATCTGAACAATTTTCCACATTTTCACAGATGACCGCCAGTTGGGGATTTGCCACATCCTTAATTAATTCCTATGAAACCTGCTAGAGATTGAGGCCAAGTAGTCACTTCCAAATGACTGATGATGTTGTGTGCATTTGGGGGCGGGGGAGCTCAGTTAGAGACCTTAAATGGAATTGATTTTTCAGAGGGTGAGTACTTAGTACTTTATGAGAAGACAGTGACAAAAACAAAACGGAATTGGAAGATGCATTTGCTAGATCAGCTTTCCAGAGGTAACCTGTTGGGGTCCCTTAGGGTTAAAAGCATCAGCCTTCCTCAGGTTGCTTCCCCCTATGCTTAGTTTCAGCAGGTTTTACACAGGAATTATGAGGTCATGTTTGCCTTAAAGGAAATGCTTGGTAGCGCCATGATGAAGGCTTTGGACAAAATAAGGCTCAAATTATGTGCTGCATTACACACCAGCTGCATGTTGTCCTTTTCCAAGCAAGGAGCTATCCAAGATGCTTTACTCAATATAACAAATTTACCATAAAACTACAATATATTGAATTTTAATATTTATTTATCTTCAGTAAAGACCTTACTAAAATAAGATTATTTGGTAAAGACTAAACTTGCCTCTTGGGACCTGATCATGCAGTCCAAACATAGTAAATCAGAATATTCACATGTTTATTGTTCTGCACATGCTTTGGCACTTTGTTGAATTGGGATCATAGGCAAAACTAAGAGTTTTCCAAGCATAAGGATTGCAGATTTGGGCCCTTAAAATACAGTTCCTACCTACTGTTGTGTATTGCAATAATAGTAACTAGGTAATTTAAAATGTTTCTTTTTCTATTTGTTCTAGGGCACTCATCTTTCCTGTCTTGATTCGTGGAGGAAAACCAACACCATTCATTATTTTTGCGCTAGCACTCATATTCTGTGTCTATAATGGATACTTGCAAGGCCGGAGCTTAAGTAATTATGCAGAATATCCTTCTGGTTGGCTGAAAGGTCCTTGTTTCATTGTAGGTGAGGTGAATAAAAGCATGCTGTTTTATGAGAACCAAAAGCAAAATTGATTATCATAAATCTTTATAAAAAAATGAACATAAAATTATGGTTCTCATACATGGGGATCCAGTGGTCTAGACTTTTTGTTTGTTAGACCTCCTTACTGTGATACAATGGAGGTCATTTAATCTTTATTTTTCTCTCCTTACTTCCATCTTTGAGTTTTGATTCCCTTTTCTGATGTGCCGTCTCAGCAACTTTATATCTATCAGCCTGACATCGGTCTTGGGCAAAAAAATGGAATGGCTGAAATGGGTCTGGATTAATATAGCATTAAAGGAAATCAATAAAATTAATGTCAGTCAACATGGGATTATGGAAAACTGACCAATTTGATACCCTTTTTTGATGAGATTACAAGTTTGTTTGATAAAGGTAATAGTGTTGATGTAATATCCTTAGACTTCTGTACTGCAGTTGACTTGGTTCCACATGACATTTTAATTAAGAAGCTACAAGAAAATGAACATGGAATACATTAAATGGATTAAAGGCTGGCTAAATTACAAGTCTCAACGTAAGCGTAAATGGAGGCTCAGTAAACTGTCATGGGATAAGAGGGAAGGTCCTCTCATGGATTGAAAACTGGTTAAAAGAGGTTAAAAGATAGGCAACAAAGGATAGGAACAAATAGTCGGCTTTCAGAATGGAGAGAGGTAAATAGTGGTGTCTCCCAGGGGTCTATACGGGGCCCAGTCCTATTCAATATATTCATAAATGATCTGGAAAAAGAGGTAAACAGTGACGTGGCAAAATTTGCAGATGATATAAAATTGCTCAAGTTAGTTAAGTCCCAGGCAGATTGCGGAGAGCTACAAAACAATCTCTCAAAACTGGGTGACTGGGCAACAAAATGGCAGATGAAATTCAATGTTGATAAATGCAAAGTAATGCACATTAGAAAACATAATCCCAACTATACATATAAAATTATGGGGTCTAAATTAGCTGTTACCACTCAAGAAAGAGATCTCAGCGTCATTGTGGATAGTTCTCTGAAACCATCCACTCAATGTGCAGCGGCAGTCAAAAAAGCAAATAGAATGTTGGGAATCATTAAGAAAAGGACAGATAATAAGACAGAAAATATCATATTGCCTCTATATAAATCCATGGTACACCCACATCTTGAATACTGCATGCAGATGTGGTCGCCCCATCTCAGAAAGATATATTGGAATTGGAAAAGGTTCAGAAAAGGGCAACAAAAATGATTAGGTGTATGGAATGGCTACCATATGAGGAGTGATTAATAAGACTGGGTCTTTTCAGCTTGAAAAAGAGACAACTAAGGAGGGATATGATAGAGGTCTATAAATCATGACTGGTGTGGAGAAAGTAAATAAGGAAGTGTTGTTTACTCCTCATAAAACAAGAACTAGCTGTCACCAAATGAAATTAATAGGCAGCAGGTTTAAAAAAAAAAAAGGAAGTATTTTTTCACACAAAGCAGTCAACCTGTGGAACTCCTTGCCAGAGGATGTTGTGAAGGTCAAGCCTGTAACGGGGTTCAAAAAAGATACGTTAGTAGATAGATAAGTTCATGGAGGATAGGTCCATCCATGGCTGTTAGCCAGGATGGACAGGGATGGTGTCCCTAGCCTCTGTTTGCCAGAAGCTGGGAATGGGCAACAGGGATCAATCACGTGATGATTACCTGTTCTGTTCATTCCCTCTGGGGCTCCTGGCATTGGCCACTGTCGGAAGACAGGATACTGGGCTGGATGGACCTTTGGTCTGACTCAGTATGGCCGTTCTTATGTTCTTATGAAAAACTCTCTTTTGGAAATTGTCTGCTGGGCTAGAGTCACAAAGAAACATAAGTGTGATGACACTGAGCACTACCATGCCTAACTTTGAGGCACCTAGAAAATCATTGGGATTTACAAAGCCTAGGTTAGGCACCTAGCCTTCCTATACAATGAATAAGGAGAGATAGGTGCTTCACAATGAGATTCACAAAAGTCAGCATTCTAGGCAGTTTCTCACCTAAACTAGCCAATGGGAGCTGCCAAAAGCAAGGTATATGTGTTAAGCCCTGCCACTCTCATAAAGATAAGCACCTATGTCTGGGCTGCAGGGAGTCATTGGAGCCAGGGGACTGGATCCTGCGTCTTCCACCTCCCAGGTGAGTGCTTTAACACCAGTCAATCTAGTCATTCTCAGGCTTGTGTGCTTTCACTCTCTTTGTCTGGCCCAATTTCTTTTTACAAGTATTTATCTACAGTGGAACAGCTTCAACAAGAGAGGCTGAGGGAACTCCACATCAGAATATCCTATAGTCTAGTGATTAGAATACTAACTAACAGAGGTGGCAGATCCCTGTTCTTATCCCTTCGCCCCCTGAGGTGGAGACGGGGATGTTACTCAAGGACAAATTGATGCAAATTGAGAGATGCACAGTGGTACAAAAGGATTACAGAGATCTCTTGGGTAAGGCATCTATCTACTAATCCACCAAAGAGTGCCATGTAAGGACTCCAATAAAAACCTGAATCACACTGGTTGTCATAAGAGCGACAAAGAGTCCTATGGCACCTTATAGACTAACAGACGTATTGGAGCATGAGCTTTCGTGGGTGAATATCCACTTCATCGGATGCATGGAGTGGAGATTTCCAGAGGCAGGTATAAATATGCAAGCAAGAATCAGGCTAGGGATAATGAGGTTAGTTCAATCAGGGAGGATGAGGCCCTCTTCTAGCAGTTGAGGTGTGAACACCAAGGGAGGGGAAACTGCTTTTGTAGTTGGCTAGCCACCTCAACTGCTAGAAGAGGCCTCATCCTCCCTGACTGAACTAACCTCGTTATCCCTAGCCTGATTCTTGCTTGCATATTTATACCTGCCTCTGGAAATCTCCACTCCATGCATCCGACGAAGTGGATATTCACCCACGAAAGCTCATGCTCAAATACGTCTGTTAGTCTATAAGGTGCCACAGGACTCTTTGCCGCTTTTACAGATCCAGACTAACACGGCTACCCCGCTGAAACTGGTTATCATAATCATTTTGAGATGTATGTATGGGTAATATGTGAAGTTATGTATATGTACTAAAATGTATATTCTTTAGGTCTGTGAGTTAAGGCAGGTCACTTATTAAGTATTCTAAGGCTCACAGTGGATGGCCCTTCACAGCCTGAGCAAAATGCTAACAGATTGTGGAGGTTGCGGGAAAAAAGAGAAACAGCATGGGTTATCCTGTTAAAGGATAAGACAATGAACTTTTGAAACTATATCTGAGATACAGATGAATCTCCAATTATTCCTTCAGTGTGTAAGGACAAGACGCCAGTGGGCTTGAACGTCTGAGGAAGCATCTCAGCCAAACTGGTTGAAAACACTGGGGAAAATATTAGGGGTAAGCTATTTTGTAGGAGATAGGTGAATGCCTTGTCAGTTAAGTTTGGGCTCTAGAAAGCATATTATGATTTTGTTTTATATGTAACCATTTGTTTCTAATTTTCTTATTTTCTATCACTTGCATGTCTATTCTTTGCTATTAAATAAGCTCTCTTACAGTGGCCCAATCTGATAGGCAGGCTTTGAGCATGCTTACCAGATAGGCAAGTTAGGTGGAGAAACCCCTGTTTTCCATTGGTTCATGCATTGCTCTGGAGCTTCAGCGTCTGGATGCTTGGTGTGGGGCTGCAGTGTTTTTGTTCAGAGGCAGAAACATAGGCACCTAGGGAACTTTTACTGTAAAAATTTAGTTGCTGAGAGAATTTAGGCATCTACAGGATTTTGGGCGTAGCTGAGCGTGGGTTTTGTGAATTCCAGTTGGGCCTGATTCTGATTTTTAGCTACCTAAGTCCTTTTGTGAATCTGGCCTCAAATTGGTGTAGTGCTGCAGTGCTCTGGAGGAGGGAGTCTGACTTTAAACAAGGAAAAGAAAGGGGTAGGGGAACGCTGAAGTGTATCCATTTGGTGGAATGAGGAGGTCTGAGTAGAGCACCCATAAAGACACTATTATAAGCATAAGAGAAGTTTAGTCATCCTGGGCAGTAACTGAGATTCTTCAAGATGTGTGCTCCTATGGGTGCTCCACTACCTGCCCTCCTCCCCTCTGCCAGCAGGCATTGCTACCAAAGTTCTCCAATCCCACCTACAATGGAACACCCCTAGGGGGACACATCTGAAAGAACCTCAGTTACTGTACTGGGTGAGTAACCTTCTCTTCACTTGAGCACTGTCTACATAGGGCAGCTAGCATGCATCATTTTAGATTCCCTGTTACATCGTAAATCAGGTCTGTCTCTCAACTCATTGAGGGCCCACATAGCAGCGATCTCAGCGTTTCATCCCCCAATCCAAGGGAAGTCAGTATTTTCCAACTCCGTGGTAGTTAGATTTTTGAAAGGTATTGTCAGTCGCTTTCCACCAGCAGTAAAAGAAGTGGTTCTCCTCTTGGACCTTAACATTGTGCTTGTTGCCCTTGTGGGACCTCCATTTGAGTCCCTAGCATCACATTCTCTTTCCCTCCTTTGCCAAAAGACCGCCTTTCTTATTGCTATAACGTCTGCTAGGAGGGAATTTAGGGAGGCTGGCATGAGTGCTGGAAGCTCCCACAGCACCCAGATTGTGGCCCTGCCCCCTGCTCGGCCTCCTCCCCTGAGGCTATGCCCATGCTTGGCCCCCTCCCCTGAGGCCACACAATCACCGCTCGCTCCTCTCCTCAGTAGAGGAGAGGAGTGAGCGGCGGCAGCAGTTGTGGGGGGCCTCAGTGAAGGCGGGTTGGAGGAGAGGAGTGACTTGATGAGCTATGGGGGTCTTAGGTGAAGGGGTGCAGCGGGGACAGGAAGGGGCTAAGCAAGGGCAGGCATTGGCGGAAAGAGGCAGGGCTGGAAGAGGAGCAGCATGAGCAAGGCCATAGGGGAAGAGTGGAGCAGGGTCTTGAGGCGGAACGCAGGCGAGGCTACGGCCCAGGCATCCGCACTCTCAAATGTGGTGGGTCGTC